TCGGCGCCTGATAATGCGCGCAGTGATGGTTTGGTGCGTGTGTGGTTTTGTGTGTGCGCATGTATGTGTGTGTGTGCGCATGTATGTGTGTATGTGTGCGCACGTGTGAGTGCGTGTCATGGGTGCAGTGGTTGTTGGCATACATGCACACTTCGGCATACCCTTGTCACCATGTCAACACAGCTCTAACACGGCTGGCGCACCGTGAAGCAATGAGGTGGTGCCACCCCACCACGTTACCTTGCTGAAGATGCGGGCCTGCTCCTGCGCTGTGAGCGACGAGTGCAGCGGCATTGCTGTCACGCGTCCGCCGCACTTGCTGTTGATGGTCTTGATCGCGCGCGTGATTTCGCCCATACCTGCACACGGCACGAGGGAGGCGCGTAGTTGGCGAATGTGAAATCAAGGAGACTGAGGATGAGTGGTGGGGAGAGGAGGATTCGGTTCAGAGCCGGGGAACCCAAGGCGAAGCAGAGGCACCATGATCGCCATCTCACGTCAACATGCTCCCCAAAACCATCTCTGCCTGTTCCCTCCCTATCACCTGGCATGAAGATGAGGATTGCGCCATCATCCCCGTGCTGGAGAATGTATTGCACAATGTCTGCAATCAGCTGATAGTCAATGCCATCGACCGCCGCCAGGCGCGTCAGTGTCTCGTCATCCACACCGCACGCGTCCTCCCCAGCAACGCTGCGGGCCGTCCAAGGCATGGACTGGGGTTGGTGACGGTGGTGTGATGGTGGTGTGATGGTGGTAGGTGTAAGCAAGGCAGCAACGCTTGAATGTGTCTTCAAAACGTACCAGTACACACACACACGCACACACACACACACACACACACACACACACACACACACACACACACACACACACACACACACGCATGCACAAACGAGGCATACACGCACAAACATATCCTCATCATCTCGATGACTCAAAGCTCCTATCATGACCGTACCCGCTTTGCCTTCTCTGCAGACGGGAGCGATATGCGCGGACGGACGGTTGCGTATATGTCCTCAAGATACACCTCCTTCACGGGATGCGTGAAGCCGGGGATCTGAATCACAGGTGCGCCTGCCAAGGGTTGACGGGGTGGGGGTGTGGGACATGTGATATTGTGCTTAGCAATGCTAGGGGATGGTTGACAGCTGATAGCTTGTTTAAACAAATAATCACACAGGGGCATTCCATGACCCCCCCCACACACGCACACACACCAACACACACACACACACAAACACACACACACGCACACACACACACACACACACACACACACACACACACACAAACACACACACACACACACCTCCAAAGTAGTTTGAGAACTTTGCGGCGTCGAGGGTTGCGCTCATGAGGACGACCTTCAAGTCCTTTCGGCGGCGCAAAACATCGCGGAGCCGAGCAAGCAGTACGTCGCTGTCAAGACTGCGCTCGTGCACCTGGCGTGATGATCGTGTTGATGGTGGTGGTGATGGTGACGGTAATGTGTGGAGTTGGTTGTGGGTTTGTGGGGGTGAACGGTGAAGGGGTAGACGGGGTTGAGAACGCTGTGAGAGGGGGGGGGGGACAGGTTGCGTGAACGAAACCCAGAGCAATCGCACATTCATTCCACAACGTCATTCAGCAATCACATGCTGCGAGCGTAGGGCACCTCATCCACGAAGATGTGCGAGATAGAGTGGATGGCGGGGTCGGACTGCAGCTGGCGCAGGAGGACACCCGTCGTGCAGAACAGCAGACGCGTCTGGGACGATGCCCTGATGATGGTGATGGTGGTGGTGGTGATGGTGGTGACGGTGATGGTGTTGGTGAGGGGAGTGCAGGGGATAAGAGAGAGAGAGAGAGAGAGAGAGAGAGAGAGAGAGAGAGAGAGAGAGAGTGTGTGTGTGTGTGTGTGTGTGA